TATATATGTATATATATATATATATATATGTGTATATATATATATACAGGGAACTATCAGACGGAGATAGATCACTTGTGTGAGAGTCATCTACAATCAGAATGACGCACGGATACGTTGCGGGTCGACAAAGCGCAAGAAAGTCAACAGGGACATCTCGTGACAAGTGTAAACATACTACGATAATGCACACTTACGAGAAATGTAGAAAACAGGTGTGACTGAGAGCTAAAGACCAAAGTGTGCCGTAGAATGCTTCGCAAATAGGAGCCCACCATAAGACAGCGACGGTAATGACGGCCGAACCAACGATGAAACTTCTGGTGATATCATATTGATATGGAAAAGGAGAGTAAGAACGGGTACCAATTGAGCGGTTAAAAGACTATCGACTTTCTGAAGTGTTAGTAATTACGGCAAATGCGAGCGATTCGATGGGACGGGACTTAAGAAAGCTACAAAATTCTAAGGTAGTAATATGTTATTGGAAAACATAGATTAATAACCAAAGGAAACGTCCTTCTTTTTCAATAAACACAAAGAATGTCATGTTGTTGTTAATCGTTGGTGACCTCATTTGACGATTAGGTAAAGTGTCGTCCATATATTTGTTTTTTAACAATTATATAAATAGCATAGATTACATACGTAGAGTACCTTTCAACAATACCATAAAAATTGTCTTTGTCGTTCTATTAGCTTTTTATTACCTAGTGGTAACTGTTAGCAGGATTTAAACTAGACCCGTAAATCTTTAGACGTAGCAGACGTAAGCACTGGATAAGAACAGCTTAAGCTAAATATTCGGTAGAAGCACGAAAAATTATTCTATAAATAGGCAGCTTCTTTTTTTATTATTTACACTCTTAGGTTAATCAGCTGCTTGAGCAAAAATCTCTTGACTTCTCTCGATATTGATATAAAACGAAGCCTGATGATTATTTTTAGGCTGTTAACACGAGAAAAGATCGTTTGGTTGTGTTAAATTGATTGCTTCGTACCTCCGACTTGTAATATTTATTGCTGCTAAACTCGTATTGTTAGTTAAAACAGGCTTCCTTTAGCATGCAGGACACTGCGTTCTCGTAAACCAAAAAAGTTAATTGCTCCAAACTCCAAAAAAAAAAAAAAAAAAAAACTCAAACTCCAAAGACGGTTAATTTTAACAGCTTACTAAACAAATGTTATGTTTAATTTGCAGTCGGATACAGGGCCCAAAAATGTTCATGCTTGAGTCCCGATTAGGACAATCAGGCTTCTAGATAGAATCAAGCGGCGATTCATTGTTTTCTATTAACTTGGTACAGTATTTAGATATACAAAAAATACATACATTTAGCTTAGGTGGTGTCATTGTTGTTTTTTCATATTAAAAAAGCTTTACTCAACAAAAATCGTCGGGTAAGAGGACCTTAATATTATATAAGGGTTAACTAACAGATGACCCGTGAAGTAGAAGATATTGAAGTTAGAGAATTAGGCACCCCGTGAAGAAACCCACGACAGCTGTGGTGGAATTCCTTGAAATGGAATCTGCGCATATCGTCCTTGATACCCCGGTGGACTGCTTAAAAAGACTTGAAAGAATGTCCGCTTCGTATCAATTTATGCTCAAAAAAGAAGTAGCCATAAAGCTTTGCTTAGAAAAATCAAAACTAGAGGGTATAAATAGGATGGTGTAATTATAAACTCGACCAACTCTGCCGTGATATTAGGCACCAGAATGTTGATGAAAAGTAGGGTTTGAGATCGGCACTAACCAAATGATTGACGGCAAGAGAGCGCATGTGGTGAGGCATCGTATTCTATTATATTACAAATGGTACCGAAAATGCAAAATCGAATATATCGATAAATGTAATTCACGGACATCGCCTAAGATAGATCCAATACAGTCATCGCTTCTAGGAAAAAAGAGTTATCTTCTTTACAGAAGCGATACACAGCTTACAGTGATTCATAAGTGACTATCCACATTTATTCACCGCTCTAACTAATCTCCTCTACGAAATGCTTCCTCGTAAATGCCGCGCACGAGTTTTTTTCAGACGTCTCCTTAGGCCTGTTCATTTCTCGGCAATTAAAATCTGTAAACTGCAGGTTGTAATAAGCAGTTAGTACTTAAAATATTTTTTCTTATATATATGTATACACTCTACTATACGGCCCCGTATTCGCGCGTCTGTTTATTGCTGAACAAAACCCTATCCAGAAGTAAAATGCCCGAAACGTTGATTTAGATGTTTAGTTTTTTTCTACAGTGAAAAGAGGTGGTGCTTTTATGTACCATTAATTAGAAGAAGTTGAATTCGAATTCCAAGCATTTTTCCATGTGTGAGACTTGATCTATTCCACTACAATTTAAACCTCTAACTACAAGTTTTTTTACTTTGTTGTGTTGCTACTTGGTCTGCTACTCGTAGAGTGTATATATAATGCGTCGCACTGCTCAGTTATAGCGAATATTCAACTTCGATGACTTAGTATTTTGTATATCCGCACCAACAGTATGTAATAAATACGCTTAAATACGGTATAAAGTTATATCATGAGTTTTTATATAAACTGGCATAAATAAATAAAAACTTAGATAAATTGGCTATTAGATTGACTCTACCAGAGTCAATCTAGTTGCCAATTTATCGACTTAATCAATAGTATTTTTTTTTTTCAAAACCTTGTCACATAATCCGAAGAATAAGTCTCACTATTATCATTTTAACAGCGCTACGATTATACTGGTAGAGGTATTAGCACCCCACAGCTTTTTATCATAAATACTCTTTTATAGTATTGTTTTGAAGCATTCCATAAGAACGAAACGCTTTTCTTTGATAAGTCGCTTGTGGAATCCCATTGTATTTTTACTATTGGGAAAAAAACGTTTTAAAGTCACATTAGTAAAGATGGCAACCTGACTAAAGACTTCTTAGAAATCTTAGGGCCTTTTGCTCTTCTTTGGCCTAAGTACTTTGAAGAAATGTTCGTTCGTAGTCTAAAATTCCTGGATGATTTCAAAATTTTTGAGTGTACGTAGGCTTGCTTTATAGCATAGTTTTCTGTCGTTCGTTCCTGTGATAAAAACTTATGCAGCTTTTTTATGTTAAATATGCCAGGTTACATTTTTAGAAAATAAAATATACGGGAGTGTAGAAAGCCTTTATATTACTTTTCATATTTCTTATAAGCGTTGTCTACGGGTAGCCTTTGCTATGTCAAAAAAAAAAACAGAGGAGATACCGTAATCAACACGAGTGGATAGAGACAATGAGTACGACGAAGTACGACGATGTACTCCGTTTTGGAGATAAATCTCTTGATGTTTCACACGTGTGTACTTTTAGTTGTCATTTCATGTTCAAAATGTATCGCCTCACAACCGAATTATCGTAGAAGTTACGCTGCATCTTAGAGAACACTTTGTTGAAAGCTGCATAGGTGACGGATCAAAATGATATCACCTAACAACAATGACTGGTTAACAATATATTCATAGGAGTGGAACGTATCAGTTGAGATTGTTAAAGAAAAATAGAACGAACTATAACACTTCTTGGAGTTCTTTGGACATTAGTGCGCGTGCATCTATATTCAAATGTCTTTTATACCAGGAACACAGCCTTTATCAAAATATTATTTTGTTTTTTACACCGAATTGTGCAACGTAAATTTTGAATACTTAATGTCACATCAGGAACAGTGAAATTCGTGCAGATCTGCCGTTATGTATCTGTACCGCTCTCTACGGGAGATGTAGTTCGTTGTTGCCGATTCGTGTATGTTTAAAACGATCAAAATATACCAGTTTCCAAATCGCTATGGCGTTATAATAGTATTAGATGCACTAAATTATTGAATATTGTCATGGAAACGACAATACTGAATCATAGGTCTATTATCTACATCCGCTGACGTCTTGATTTCGCTAAACAGAGGGGAAGTTTTGCTAGTTTCTTGTTATAGTACCTGGAGCGGCTGCAAAACTCGTTATGCTTAAGACTGCGATAATGACTCGTCTTCATTTAAAATATGATTGTTAAAAAACAAAATGAAAAAATTAAATTTAACAGAGACAACCAGTAAAAGTACTAACAATATGAAGTATCAGTGATTACCCAAACTCAATGATCAGGCATTCGCTGAGTTGGCTTAGCCATCGTAACGGGTGAGGAACAACGCGTTTAGTGGACCATTCTAATTGACCTAGTGCAGCATTCTTTAAACTCGCAATAATGCATACGAATAGCTACAAAAGTGAACTTAATATCTTAATTGAGACGGATGGATTCTTTGCGTAAAAAGGCGGTTACTTTGAATGCTACCAACAGTATTCTTACCTAAAACTAACTCAAGCTAAGCCTTGAATACGCTTCAAGAAATATTGTTGAGTTTATTATAGAAATTAGTAAAGATTATTAAAGAATATAATTTTTTTTTATATGTGTGCGCGATTATATTCGGTTATACGGTACACTTAGTAAAACTTTGACCTAAATCTCCAAAACTTGAACAGTCGTCCAATAGGGTCCAAGTTCCCTTTCGTAAAGCACGTAATTTTAAGGTTGTCACTATTTTATTTGTGTACACAACAGAATGTCGGTTACATCGTTTGACATAAATTATACAAAATACAGGTCCTTGTTAGGATAGCAGAAAATCACGCGAATACAATTAAGTCCAGAAAGGCAAACCGTGTATATTTGCTTGGTATCAGATCGACTAAGCGTCTCAAAACTAATTTAACGATATGTCTTTGTTTACTTGCTGAACGACAAGCGTCGTCCCTCTAGCAACTCCGTCTATGCCACTTACGTTACTTAGTTTACGTCGACGCGGGCGTCGTCGTCAAGGGTTTTTTGCGCAACAGGACCTACACTTGGACCATAGCCACTCGATGAGAAAACCGTTAATTGAGATCGCTGTCATAAACGCGTACAATTCGAAGATGGAATAGAGATCCGGTATTGTTGTGGGCTTAACTACGTTGGACTGTTCCAGTCGGGTTCCCGGTATACACTTGTCATTACCCTTGTACAGTTCATGCTGAGGAACGTACTGGACACCATACGCACGGGACCATAGTACTCTACACAGAAAGCCAATTAATAGACGGCCGTTTAAATAGTTGCACTTTTACTATATTTCTATAGGTCTATTTCAAATTTTGGCTTTTTTTTTACTATGGCATTTAAAAACAATTCTACTATAAAAATAATTCTGTACAGATCATCATTGTCCTACAATCAGTCATCCTTACAAAATCAAGTTGTGCATTGCACGACAATTCATTCAGAGCATACATGACTAGTCTGAAAAGTTCTCAGCGTTAAGTTAGCCCAAGGTAGCTTTAGTCGTCAAAAATATTCTACTGACATGACTGCGCATGTTTCCAATAATCGGGCTAGATCGTTTCAGTCATGTCGATCGGTGCTAGTGTTTGCGTAAAAATTATATAGGAGAAATAATTTTATTTTCATTTCAAGCTACTATTAATTCTTGCCTTTAAAAGACGATACTTACAATATTTAGGCAAATCAAAACCAAAGCAAATACTTTTGACGGAGATACTGCACAATCGTTTGCCACCGTAAATTTATTGAAACTCAAATCGAAAGATGGTCGTACCTATTTGGTTCACGATAAACCTGTGAGATGATAAAAAATTGCAAAAACTACAGATAACATCGGAAAAATCCGCCAAATAGTGCTAGACGACCGTCAAAAAAAAAAAAGAGATAACAAAGGCTGTCGGCATGTCCAAGGAACGCGTTCGCCATATACAGGCTTATCTACTTGTCGAGGCACCGCAGGGTCCTACACTTCAACGGTTGCTGTAGCAACAATTCAAGGATTGTAGTTTAAGCAAATTAACAACCCATTGTATCCACCAAATCTAGCCCTTAACGGCTTTATCTGCTTCGTAGGCTCGAAATTTTGCTTAGAGGACAAAGATTTTGTCCAAGTGGGGAGGCCATCACAGTCCTAAACGTGCTTTTTGCGGGTCAAGACACCAACCAATACTTCGACAGTATAAAGAGATATATCCAGAGCGGCCTTGAGAGAAGTGCACAAACTTAAAAAAAAAGCTGCGTTAAGAAACAAGCATTTGACAGAAATAAAGTTGTTTTTGTGTTAGTCTAGGAAATTTTCAGACCGCTTACGTACGAATGGGCTAGTAAAATCAAACTCTAAAAAGATTTTCAAATGTAGAGTAAAAACGAGTTTTTTTTTTAACGTACAACGGGAATGAACTTACTGCATATCCATAGCATCTATAAGAGGTTTGCCAAGTAACCGGCTTGTGTACCATGTACTGGCCAGATTATATACATTTTCACGCCCAATGAAGAAATAATAATTCGTTTCTGCACACCAGCGGTACACGGCTTGAAGTGCTGCTTGTGTGTCAATGAAGATCATGGACTTCTTATCTACTAGCTCGTTTCGGATCGAATCTGTAAACATTTCAGTAATGGGTAGAGGCTGGGAATTTCTTTCCATGTGCTGCTTTAGTGCAGCTCCTCGTTCGCCGGGGAAACCCTGTTGGTAGAGAGCGTAGTCAAATCGACTGTTAGTGCTTACTTTTTAGTCTTACGTGAGGGAAAGATACTGTAAACTTAGCAAAAAAAAAAACTATCTCTAAATAACACAAGCTATTATGGAAAACCTTCACTTATTAACGTGCATATGTTTTAGAAATTACATTATAATACAAGTGAGATAGTGGAATATGTGCGCTTAGTGCGTGAATATCGAGCTAAAATAATTACGGGCCCGCCGTCAGTAACTCCGCAAGTGAGTGAGACAAACGCAGCACTTATTATCCAAATGGCAGACAGTGCGGCTAAAACTCTGAGTCCAGCTCAAGAATGTTTCTACTTAAAGGGGTACGTTACTCCATTATAAAAAGTGACTTACATAATAGTTATTAAAAAGCACTCAAGGACCACACAATAAAAATTACTTTTCTTTTAAAAAGAAGTAAGCATTTAACTCAGTGGAGTAATTGATCTAAAAGAAGAAATGTTTCTGCTTTACCTATGGGCTCACTTTTATATATGATGCAATCTGACTGTTGGCGAGATAGTAAGCTTTAAGTTTAGGCCGCGCGATGAGATCCCAGGACGTGTCGATCCTTTCAGTAGGAGCCTGCACGATGAGATTAGCTCGTGATTGCCCCGCAAATGACTGAGCAAGTATAAATGAGGTAAGAAGCCAGATGCAATGCAGAACTTCAGCATACAATGCGCCAAAATTAGACTTAGTCACTGAAATTGGGTAATGGAGAAATAGAAGGCTGCATTATCACGAGGGGTTGCTACTGTTTGCATAGTTAGATAACTAGCTGGTTAAATGAAAGAAGAAATCGATATTCCGATAAAATTCAAGTTACGTTAATTCAGAAAAGCTAAGTAAAGATAAGAGCATACTATTTGTAATTCTGTCCATTAGCGACAGACTAATTCCCGAATTTTTGCAGCATATAGATGGATAGCATTACCAAATACCTCCAAGTGGCTCGGCTATAACGTTTACTTAAAAACGCCCTGCTCATTATGACAAGATTTAGAAATTCGACAATGGCGCCTTTCAGTTCGAGTGCGTTCTGCAACGATCTCATTGCCTGAGACAAAGTGAGTAGGCGTTTGTGAAATTTGATTTATAACTAACAACAGGTAAAAATAATTGTATCAGTTAAATATGTAGTGCTAATGAAAAACATATTCAATATTGGTTTTTCATTGAGTTATGAAGCATTACGGGGGCTCTTATTTGTTCATTAACTCAGACATAAATATATTCAAAGTAACTACACATTTTTGAGAAATAAAATCGACCATAGTCCACTGCAGTAGTACGTTTCTGCACTGCTTATCACTACAGTAGTGATAGATTGTCTTGTACTCTGCTAAGTACTTACTGGTACAAAGTACTGCATTACCAACCTTGTCACTGGAGGGTAATTGCACTACACTTCAAAAAAATTCTATGAGAAGTCATCACAAACCTTGCTGTACTAATATTTGAAAGAGTTCAAAGCCGATTTGAAAGAAGCTATGAACGGTCCAGTCTCTTTGGTGAGCAAAGCCGATTAATATCATCAAAACGAGGAACGAGAGGAACAAAAGCAGCCAAACCTGAAATCATTTAAGGACAAGCTGTGTCATATAGAGGCTATAAGGGTTCAAGGCGACATTTCAGGGAAAATTCACTATTATTCAAAATCATGAATTGTAGCAAAAGAACAATGGCAAACCAAGCTAGATAGCCTTTTCCAGGCTGAATGACGCGTAATTGGAAATCGACATTTAGACATTGGCGGACGATCAGTTTAAAAATGCAGTGTGCATTGTGAATCCGAGAACTCCTGTCATGGTACAAACATAGGTGACATGTATAAATATAAAATTCTTAATCGTTGTTAAAACTATTGCTGTAGTTTACCATAGTATCTTTTTTTTCTAACTCACATGTTGCATTGTGAAGCAATACACATATTTTGTGACATCCATCGGATTTTTCCAGTTGCTCACACTGTGTGTTCAATACAAGCCAACTCACAGTTCCGTCGAATGATGTCACGAAGCTCTCATTTTGACTGACATATGCTTTTCGCATGCCAGATACCATCACGAGATGCGAATCTATGGATGCGGGTGGCATGTGAAGTTCGCGTTGAAAGTTTTCCTCAAGCGGCGACGGCCCAGCGGTTAAATCAGCATCGCCTGCGAGAACTGCGCCGTGCATACCCATCAAAGTACCGTTTGGAAGCCAGCCGAAGAACCAGCCATCTTTAGGCAAGCTTAAAGTATACCTGTGTTTTTATCGGTTAGAGTCCAAGGTTTAACAAATATATATTAGAAACAATCTCCATTTAATTTACTGCCGTTGTTTATTGTTGCGCAAAAAAATACTTTCAACATCATAGCTTAGTGAGAGCAGACCAATGTGCTACCAACGTTGGGTTGAGATTAAAACTAAACTTAATGACGAGGCGCCTCTTTTATCAGTAGTTCGATCACAATTTTTTCTTCTCATAGAAGCAATATGTAAGATAAGTGGTGCGAGATTTATAGTACTTACGTCATATTCAACGAAAAGGTGATATTACTGAGCATGTAGCCGAGCATCCCAGCGAGCATCCGACGCCCGTCAGGTCTCACGCACGTATAACTCCACGGAGGAAACTTCAAAAAAATGAAAACACTACCGGCTCTTATCATCAGTAACAATATCTCCCTTAGAGACAGGTCGAAATAAACCGACATCTTTAAGAAATTTGTTTCAATTTACGCAGACAGAGAACATATGTAGATTTTCCAGTATAATCTTACCTCCCAATAGGATATTCGAAGCACTTTCCCATTCCATGGCCGATCCATGCTGAGCGGCACTTTCATAGGAACTACTGCACCTTGCATCTGTCGTTAACCATTTCTATTAATATATTTAGATATCTATACTCAATCAATATTCTTACTGCACTCCCTTTATGGTCCATTTATTATTAAAGTATATCTCTATATTGTAATGCCATTATCGCTAATGCTATTCGCAAACGTCCCCATTTGATTCAATTGAAAGCGACTAAAATCTCAAGCCTAGACCTCAAAAAGTATCGACCAAATAACAGGGTGTTCAGAAACGCGACTTCGAACGACTTCAGCTACATACTAGCAGTTATAAAGGTAATCGTACGTGAGAATAAGTTTCGTTCTTTGTTCTGCACGTAGCTGTGCACCTATCGCGTTGATTTAAAAACAACAAAAGAAGAAGGTTTTATTGTATAAAATAAACGTCCAATATGTGTCTGCAGAAGAGTGAACGAACATAAATTACATTGGAGGTGATCTTAGAAACTGTCGAACTTTAGTCTTCTTAAGAGTTCCAGAACTGTCCAAACACCTTAACTCTTATCATGTGCGCAGCATTCAGCTGTTTCATTAAACGTCTTGTACATTTTTTGCCCTTAGGATTTCCATTACTAACAGAAGCAGAGCTGAATGCATGCTGAGATGCGGCCAGTTACTTTCATCGTATCATTAATCATAATGAATCCTGGAGCCGATAGGACGCAAATCGAAGGTACGCCTAACCTGGCGTTTGTTCGTGGGTGGATGGAAATTAGTTTTAGCGTTATCTTTGAACGGTACGAAAAGTCATTATGACGCTATAAGGGTTCTGGTATTGTCTCGATATGTCGCATAACGCATGATAGGGTTTACGGTTTGCGATTTAAGTTTGCCTCAACAGCCAGGCGTTGAATATATATGAAATCATAATTCACTTTCAACAATTTCCTGACTGTCGAAACTCCACTGTCCACACGAGAATACCGTTCGATCTAAATTGCCATAGGAACAAAAGTAATTTTTATCATCTATTGTGTTTAGAAGCAACGTGTCCACCTAGGGCGTTCGAATGTGTTTTGCTGAGATACTTCCATTTGACCCTTTAGACCGTAAACAGGCATAGAATTTGAGTAAATTCAATCATTTAGGAGATTAATCAGGGTTCCTTTGTGTAAATGGATCGGTAGTAAGGCAATCAAAGCATGCGGTTGATTCTTTGTACTTTCAGTATGAAGTAACTCAGCCGCATGTTTTTAACCTCTATACTGTTTGGCCATGTATTCTCATTACCTGGTCACTTTGTTAACGGTGCATCTGCGATACATTAACAGTTTTTAAACCTACTTATAAAGTTCGTTCAGTAAATAAACTCAAATATAATAAGAGTACGATGTCGTTTGTGGCGAAGTAGAAAAGAACGTGTTTCACCCAAACCCAGGTTTCCTTACGCAGTATAATTGGTGTAGTTAAATTGTAATTGAATGTTGCGCTAGTTACAATTTCAATGCTATGCATGCGTAATTAAATTTAATGTAATTTTAAACAATAAGTTGACTTCAAAAAAATAAACAGTTGAGAAATTTGCTTTAATTGCACAAAAACGCGCAGGCAAAAGTTGCATGTAGATTCTTTAGTGTAAGCCTATTTGCCTGTGGCTTACTCGAAGGACTTTTCTACTCTATGGCTGATCCATACTGTAGCCGCTTTAATAGAAACCATTGCACTTCACATCTATATATGTATATGTTTATATATATGTGTACACTCGCTAGTATGGTCTATTTAATACTAAAATAGATCTCTATATTGGAATGCCATTATCGCTAACACTATTCTCACCTGTCGTCATGTATTTTAATTGTAAACGACTGAAACATCAAACCTAGATATTAAACAATTCCGACTACATAATAAGGTATCCAAAAATAGATTAGAAAAAAGAAGATTAGCTCAGGTTCGGATTCAAAGGTATTCTTATTTAACTTCATCTGTTATTTTTTGAAAATTTAGATAAGGGTCTTTACATTTGGCGTTAGCAGTTAGGCATTGTTTTAGGTGGGTCTTACTATATTTTTCTCCGACAAATTTGTAAAACGAGATGGTTACAGACCTAGAAAATAGTAAAGCAGAGTCAAGGTTACACTAATCTTCATCCGCTAGCCGGGTGGAAAATGGTTGTTTCTGAGAAGTATCATGTCAACGGTGCTACGCCGTCATCGCGATGTTCGAGGGAATTCACAGGAGACTGTAAACGCGTTTTTATTAATTTAGTTCATTTTCCTGCCAGTATTACCCTTTTTATTGGGCGACTTTTACCAAAAATATGCAACTTAGCGAGAGCTAGAACAAATATTTTAACTTATATGTCGGATACTTACTGTTGATCATTGTTTCAGATAAGTGGACTTCAGCTAGAAACCAAAAATCCAAAGAGTCAATTCATTTTCATCATTCTTGCAAGTAGGACACCTTACGGGATATCTACAGGAAAAAGATTCTGGAGCTGGTAATCGGTTCATTTATCTACCAAATTACAATTCACCTCGCAAGGTATCAAAATGATTTAACTGTAGAAGTAAACTTTATCTTAAGCTTACTACTTTCGCATTGCAATTATTTCTATTGTTTTCTCTTTTCTTTTGAGACATCAAATAACATGTTGATTATTTTAATGGCTCAAATATAATTCCTTATTATTAATTCAACAAATGACCTTCATTCACTACTAGCCTGAACGAAGCTTCTCTGTTGTCACATTACCCAATCCAGCTTTCACTACATTCGAGTAACCTTTGTTGGGAGCTAGGTAATCTTTTTATTTTTACAAGCAATATTCTACGTGGCAACCATGTCTGCATATCTTTAGAGACGCGTTGGAGCTAGGTATGAAACTAAATACAAAACATAGAGATAGATTTTTTCAATAAAGTGTACACACACTTAACACTTTCGCAAGGTTAGAGCTTCTCTTTTGCCGCTTGAAGCAAACAGGCCACTGGGTCAATACGGATCGGATTTAGGTCAATTGGGCTATAAGCAAATTTTATGCAGAACTATCACCGACGGAATCACTGGACTCATCGGAGGCATCTGCAATTCTCATAGCGTCATCTACTAAATCCTGGTAATGGGTCTCTTTGGGAATGAGATGCCGTTCCAGAAAGAATTTTGTGCTCTTAGCAAAGGCAGCATGAAGTCGATCGTCACACTCTTCCGGTTTGGATTTCATCACCTGTTCGAGGTCCTGCAGCATACTTCCTAACCCGGCTTGTTCATAGTAGCGGACGCATGTCTTAATTAGTTCTTGGTCTTGCTCCGGTGTGGGTAATAGGAACTGACTAACGAATAGTTGATTAATCAGCTTGTCCACAGTGTCACATAGGCTGTCGTCATCAAAGTCCAATGCTGCATTCATCAGATACAAAATGTTGCTAAGTGTAACGGACGAGACTGTCAGTGCTGTGTCGCACATCGCCCATATACGAAGAAGTTCGCGCAATAGATCCATCACGGTGTCTCTGAGATACTCGTCACGCAGGACGACCACTCTAATAACACTGTCCAGCTTTGCTCTCCTGTGCCGACTGTCAGCGTTGAGAAATAGAACGCTTTTGTGAATCTGCTCAAAGTAGTGTAAATGCTTCTGTTGCGAGTGACTGCCAAATGCCCGCGAGAAATGAGAATTCTCATCGGAGTCGAGGTCAAGGTATATGCAAAGGATAAACTCAGCTACTAATTGTACCATTTTAATGTGCAGATCAAAAGTAGCAATGTTACTCACGGGATCGCTAATCATTACATTGTATACTTCTTCGATTTTCCAAGCGAGGTGCCCAATTACAAATAACATATTTTCCTGACTTAACTCAGCGTCGTGCCAACGATCCGTGATAATTTTGAGATGCTGATGACTGATCAGCCTCTGATCGAGAATTAAACGGAGGGCCATTGGCCCTTGCTCATGGGTGTTTTTCAAAACCTGTTCGAGAGCAGAGAGTGGCAACTTGCTAATGCCTTCGATATATGCCGGGATCATGTACGAATGTAGTTTCTCTAGGAAGTTCACTTCATCGTGACAGTCGTTCGGATACAAAATAATGATTTTGCTAATAAATGTCGGCACCTTATGAAGCATCCGATTCAGATGATGGTCACTGACACGTTTCTCGATCACGTTTAAGTAGAACTTATAGAACGGCCTCCTCGCCTGAGCTTTCTTAACGAAAAAAAGGCTATTCACATATTCGAGAATGCCAGGCGTATTTTTAACAGCTAGGGCAGCAACTTCCAGGGTAAGTTTAGCATCGGATAATGACTGGTGCTTTTTTAGCTCTTGGAAAAGCGATTGATTTAGGGCCGTGTCCTTGCCACCGTGGATGGAAATCATCACCTTTGCAAGACGCAGGTTCGTATCGGTGCATGGCGAACTATTGAAAGATACAGGAAATCTTATTATAAAGAAATTCGTAAGTTCTTCCGCTAGATTCCGCAGTTCTATTCCTGAATCGCTGGATACGTCCGCCCATTCAACGATGGACAACATGGCGAGGGAAACGTGGGCAAACAGATCTTGTTTAAGCATGGCTTTCGCCGTTGAGCAGTTCTCAATTCCAGACCACATGGCAAGCAGCACAGGGATAAATGACTGGGCTACGGTACCACCTTCACGATAGGTGACGGTACGGCGAACAGCGCCGATTTGAACGAACCATCGAATGCGTGGTGCGACGTGGGACCCCTAAAAGTCAAAGATATACCGCTGCTCAGTAGATTATTATTAAGAAGAATGTTAGCTGAACTTGTGTATAATAATAATAGCAATAATTACTAGTAACAATATCGATAGTAACAATAAGGAAAAGCGCCTTTGGTCTACACGACAAGGCGAAATGCCATATAAAGAAAAATTTATTTTAGACAAACACATTACCAAACTGATTTGCAATTGAAATAGACTAGGTCTCACTAAACGAATAAATTTTTCACTGAACGAATAAATATTTATTATTGTTGGACGAGGTATCAAGCTTTTATAGAAGCGTACCTGCCGGTAATTATAATTAATTTTTATTTTCCTTGTCAGAGAGCATCCGAATACTAAGGATTATCAGCTACAGAGTATCAACACCGCAACTTAATAATTCCGTGATTTCCAACTTTTTAACCACTTCGCATACTTCAATCTATGTTGGAATGCTCGTATTGATTGTATTACGCAATTTGGTCAATGTTAACTCCCGACATTAAATTGTGCAACTATATTGTACCTTAAGTTTGTTATTTACCTAATGGTATGATACCTACCAAACATGTTTTTGTCGTCTGTTTACCCCCGCTGAAAAAGGTCTTCATGATGCACTGAACGAGACGGGTTATGACCCGCGCTACGTCGCGCCATAACCGCAAATGATCTGTGCTGCATTTAAGCTCCATATCAAGCTTGCGCGCATTCGTACCTTGCTTCGTGGAAGATACTAAATCCATAAGATTCTCTATTATCGAAAAGTTGCGAGCGACCTCTTCTGGCGTATGACGCAAAAGTACCTGGAACAATCATAATCCCATTGAGATATCAACGAGGCAAGTGAAGCTGGAAAAAGAATAGAGGATGAAATCGAATCTTACCATTGTTCTACTTGCAAAAAACACAGCTGAGTACTTGCCGTTTCCTTGAATTAAAAGTGCTTGCGTTCTCGGAGCGTCTTCGACCTCGCAGTTTCACATACCATCACTCCAAGACATTTTCACCATAATAATAACGGTTATAGACGTCGAAAAACTTTACATGTCAACCTTAGTTGCAATCTATTCCTTCTCTAGGCAAGGCTACGTCTGATACTGAAAAGACGGTGCCTCAATATGACTTTCAAAACTCGAAAAAATATTATTTCGATTAGATTTTTTATTTCTATCAACATATTTTTCATGTATACTCATTCGAGTTTAGGATAAACATTATATCTAAGATACCTCAGACTTCTCATTTTGTTTACCTCGAGAAACTGCAGTGAGCTCTTTTTCACTCCCCAATCTAAGCTCGTCATCGCGCACTGGAGGTTTAGCAGCAGCTTTTCTGCAAAACTTTTTCGATGTTCCAAGGAAAATTTGTCCAGAGTTCGATTGAGAACGGATATCGCACCATCGCGAATGGCAACTTCGGCTCTTGATGCCAACATACCAAGACGCTGCACAAGTTGCTGTCGTTGGTCCGATGTCAATAAGTCGAGAATGCGAACAACTGCGTTAAGACCTAAATTTATCAGGAGAAGCAGATGTTACCCCCATGACGAATTGCGTGCTTTTATTTACAATTGCAAGAGAAAAGTCTGATTAAGCCTACAATACATCTTGCAAGCTTTGTGATGTAATTATATTAGGTAAATAAATCAACTGCTCATAAGAAGCCAATAATTATTTTATGAACGAATTATTAACCTTATTTTTAGTGCAATGCGTGTGAACATTAACTAGTAATAACCGGTAACCCGTTGCAAAACTAGCCTAGACGACTAAACCTTTAGTCGAAAGGATTGACGACTGCCGGCCTAAGTTCCGAAGCAAAAATATACTACATATATATGCTAGAATAAATAATAAAATAAAGAGACTGATGATGAGTTCCAATTCTAAGTAAATAAATTTACACAATACACTTGGTATATTTTATTAAACCGTTATTGTTTACTGCCATTATAGACTCTCTCTTTAGGGTTTACTGAGTCATTTATTCAATCCAATATGGCACTTAACTACAAGTTCTAATACAAGGGAAACCTACTAAGTTTCAAATCCAGGCAATGTAATACCCATTTTTAATTAACATTCGTTTGGGATACTACCGTCTGTGACATTGGAAGGATTATTGCTGCTGAGTTTGCGAGTTGCCAAAACAAACTGATCCTTTACTCCTTTTATTTCTCCTTTCAACTGTTCACGAATGACGATTTTTTTGCTTTTGAAGCTCGTATCAGTGAAGTTCAGGCCCTTCCTCTTAATTTTGCCAACTTTCAGCTTCACCTTTTGGAAATCTTTTCCTTTGGCTTTTTTACTGCCAGCCATCTCTGTGATCAGTCACTGGTAGGTAGATCACTCTTGCAAAACGAAAAAAATCATAGATATTTTAATACAAAGTTACATATAAAAAATGTCTTTCTCTGATAGGCAGCTAAGTGCCGCACAATTCGATCCGGTATGTACAGACTTGTTTATTATTGTTGCTGGTCGGAAACATTCATTCTCACCAAGTGAGAGTTCCGTCATTTAGAGACGTTGTTAGGTGCTCTCTGGTATACGGTGGGGTTTATTAGCCACCATTCAGACACGCGGTCAATTCAAATCGTAGTGATACGAAGATGTGAATGCAAGTCGAAAGTCTTGAGCCACGTGGCCCAATATGTAGTGAAATCATGCGAGTGCACCAAACGAATCGCCTTCAGTCAGATAGTAAAGACACAGCCAATAAAAAGTATTTGATGCCCGCGCGCTTACTGATGCCGTTGTTCGCTTGCCATGTTGTCCTACACCAGTGGAACAAAAGCATCTACTGTATTTATTTTGATCATTCTCGTTAATCATAGATTAGAGGTCCTCGTAGATGATTTAGTGAATATCCAATGAACAGTTAAAAAGCTAGTCATTAACTGCAGATAATTTAGGTCTATGCTAATGCTTTCTTACAGCGCTTTATCGACCATATTCACACTTTTCTCTGTCCTTAAACCTGATTCAATTATTTGTTTCCTAAAACTGCCTAATATGTTTCGTTTGTTTAAGCCTTGCGAACAGCAGCACAGGCACGAAGGTTGTTGTTTTTAGCATCATGTAGACGGGATGTCCGGTAGAGGATTCGATTAACGCGTCCGATCTGACTATTTCTTTTATTACTCTACTAAATGTATTTGTTTATTAGCTCATTTTACATTATTCAAAAAAGCTATTAAAGTGAAAGCGCTCGTGACCCTTCAGAATATGGAAATAATTTCAACTGACCGGGGTCAGTGCTGGTTGGGACGTGCGGCTTCCTATGCCTAAATGCAGTCAATGTTTTTATGTTTTTTATCCCCCACCTAGTTAAATATATTTATTATACTAATATCTGCTTCAGAATGGCCCCAATCGTCTTATTTTATAAAAGGCTTAAGTAATATACTTTACGTACGACCGGACACCACTAGGTCAACGCATATCCAGTTTAAACCGAGAATGGGGCTTGGCTCCGTCGTTTCGGCTTATTTACGTGAAAACCACTACTGATTACCGATGCCTTTCTAATATCTTGTTCCGGATCAGGCTGGATCCTTAGTAATAGGATTAAATTACTTGTTTTTCATAACGGTAAAGTCAAATATCTACTAGTAGTACAATAATAGACGGCATCGCCTATGCTTAAATTAGGAAGTCGTTTGCACCTTTTCTTATCTTGTTTTGTGGATCATTTCTTTCTAGCAAAAATTAGGTTTTGCCTGGCATTCCGGCAGTACCAATTGTCTCTTGCTTGTAGATAGATAGCCAGATAACACAACGAATGGAACTAGCGAATGAGATGGTATTGATTGGAGTTTTACAATGGCTGACACCGGTAGCAAAAACAGAGGTACCTTGTTCTAGCTAATTGACTATGCGTACGCAGGTCAGCATTTTCTTCGCTCTCTAGGTTGTATTGGATGCTGACGTTTCTGCATATTAACCAACGAGTCAACGCCAAACAAATAGTCGTAGGCATATTTCAAGACACTAACGATGGCAGATGCAGGTCCAGGCTCATCTAGATACCCTACCAAGGGGCTGCTTTATGGAGAATACCTGAAGGTAAAAGACCGATATTTTCTCTATTTAGCCTAATCTCTGTTTCTATTTATATTGTATTATGAATTCGTGAACAGTATCCGACTAAACTGTTCACGAGCAGTTACGTTAACGGAAAAGGTCAAATTGGAAATTTATATCTGTTTCATTTATTTTCACCATTTTCTTTTATGTCATAGGTCAATCTGAATCTTAGTTTTGTATCTAAAGATAATATCATTATTGTTTGTCGTGTTAGCATCATGGTTGCTTGACATCTGTTCGATTCGATAAGTTGATGGAAACGTTCAACAAATCAATAAATATCAACGTAAAAAGAACATTCTAGCAATTCTCTGTTTTTGTGATTCCCTCTGGAATTCAATTCCTGCGTTTGAAAACGAGATTTTATTGTTTCTAGCAACTGCGTTTATCGAAACATAAATAAGGTTGCCAACGTGAGCTGCTAATGTAGTCAATGACTGAAGATTTGATTTCAAGGGCCTTCCGACTGAGTTTAGAAGCATTGAGCGTTGAAGGTGTAGTAAAGTTGATCACAGAGACTGATTTAACATATAAATGTGGCATGTGTAGCTGTTTAGCTATCTGTTGACATTCGATTATCTTTATATATTAGTTAGAGAAACTGTTGGCCTGTCAGGATCCGGTAACGAAGCGTGACGCTGAAGAAGTTCATGACGAGCATCTCTTTATTATTACGCACCAAGGTAGGTCGGTCTCTATCTAGAGACGTGAGATGGACTTGATATACTAATCTAACAAACGGTGCCTTGTTGTTACTAACACTTGTCAGTATATCGCATAGCTACTTTTATGTGAACTTATAGTCAATATAACGTAATTACAGTAATTAGTTTTGAGGGCAAAAAGAGTGTTTTTACACTGATCAAGCAAAAATCATTCGAGTGATAAAGAGGAAAGTTATTAGCTAAGTTAGTTGTTAGAAAATGTTAGATTTAGGTAAACCAATCATTTTGGAGATGTGTGCCTTTCGTCCAAGTTGTCATTGAGACCTTCGTTCTCGAATATTTTTCACCAAAAAGAATGTATAGAGAGGAGAGAAGAGAACACGATGTACGAACTTTTTCAGAGCCATTAAGTCCATCATTTGAAACCTCATTGCCAAAGGGTACAGAAGGAAGAACTGTGTTAGCGGGTGTGTCAAGTAGGTACCTTTGTCTTTTTAATTGATCATACTTATAGCTCGACCTATTTCAGCTTATGAACTGTGGTTCAAGCAGATCCTTGTCGAACTGGATTCGATCCGACCGTTGTTCGATACGGAGGTCGTCGAAGAGGCCAAGATGCTACTTATCACTCAAAGACTTAATCGTATAGTCTTGATTCTCAAGGTTATTATTTGTGCACAACTAGCATTGAACACAGTATCGAAAATTTATAAACACAACAGTATTCAAACATACCATGCCTGTTATTAAAAAGTTGTATTCAAAGGGAGAAAGATTCGTCCTAAAGTTTGTTTATGCGGAAACGTTAAGACTGTTTTCAGTAGACATTCTTGAAAGCTCAGTATTCAAATATAAGACTAAACATTTCAGCTGTTAGTGGACCAAGTGGCCATCCTAGAAACAATGACTCCTCTGGATTTTCTCGAATTTCGGAACTACCTTGCCCCTGCGTCAGGTTTCCAGAGTCTACAATTCCGTCTATTGGAAAACACATTAGGAATCAAAAATGTACGTGTATTGCTATTGTTATGAGCTTCTTTTATTGGATATGCATATTAGTATTTTAGTTATTAAAAGTGTTCATTGGTTCAGATTCACATACCCTTTTGGCTGATCTATCATTTAGAAAACTAAGTACAATAGTGTCCTTAAGACGTGGAATTAGTGCAATAGGGCCTGACATACTGCAATTGTATTTCCTACTTCTAGACCCTATTTTTATAACGACTACTACGAACTGTCACTTCAAATATTGCTGGCGATATATACAACACAAAATGTGTGATTCGACGAAAAAACAAACCAACTACGCTATCCAGTGTACAACAAGGGAAAAATGGTTGGAGCAATCGGGAATGTGTTGGATCAACAGGCTGTAATAGGGAACACGTTTATAGTCCTAAGAATACTTCTTTCAGCCTGTCTTTGTTTCCTTTTTATTAAAATGGCAGTTTCTCTACCAGTATCTGCACGTTTATTCTAAGATAGAATTAACAATGTAAACCTGTGCTTCTTACATATTCATATGTAACCCTTTTACGAGAAAAATCTAGGAACATCGAGTGAACTATAGCCGTGACCTCTACGTGAACGTGTTTAATGACCCGAAGGCGATAGAAATCGTTAAAAAATCGCACGAACAACCGTCGCTGCTGTTTCTCATCCAGGTCCGTAAAATGTGTCGCAGGAAATGACAAAATGTTTTTCCTAATTGCAAAGAAGCGTGTCCAAAAAAGGTACTTTTTGACCAGATGGCGACCAGATGCTAGATTTTCGGCGAGGACATTAAATACAAATGTTGATTCAAGGTTACAGCTAACTAGCAATGGTAGCAGCATAATTGGAATGATGTATTAGCTCATCGTAGAAGGGCATTCGTAAAGTTTTCCAAGAGCCTTTTTAATTAGTCTTTCCTTTGAAAAAAAAATTGCTCAAGTTACTACTTGGTCCCTTTTTATAAGTTGAAATAAGTTTATTCACCTAAAAACACTAGGGCTTAGCTATGCAACTTTAAAAAAAATCCAGTAACTGCGACCATATCCTAAATTAATTTTTGCCCGCGCGATAGAAAGTTATATCAATTGTCACGTTTCGTAGCGGTGGCTGGAACGTACCCCGGGTCTTGAGGAAGATGGCTTCAACTTTTGGGCAAAGTACAAAGCCGTCGTCACTCTAATGTTGGACCGAATGGAAGACAAGGGCCATAAGAAAAACGACACGCAAATGATAGAAAATGTGTGCGCGAAAAGGGTTTGTATAAAAGTATATAAATACTTATGTATAAACTCGTATAATTGCATGAAGAGTCAATTTGGCATTTGGATTAACGATAATTGCGGTCAGCAGTATGCCGCATACTATCATGGATACAGTTCTACTGGTCCATTTCAGCCTTCTCTACGCGTTATTTTTAGCAGCACATCATCTACACTACAAACTGTTAATTATCACCATGATTTGTTGTAGGCGGTGTTTGCGACAATTTTCGACGAATCCCTTCATAACGAATTGATAAAGCGCGGCGAGCGACGGCTATCACATAAGGCACTTCAAGGAGCATTAATGATTTATTTGTACAGGGATAGTCCTCGTTTTCATCAGCCCTTCCATATGCTAACGCTGCTTATGGACATCGATTCTCTTATTACCCGATGGAGATGTAAGAACTTATCGATTTAATAGTCAGAATTATAGTGCTAGGTATAGATATGTAAGTATGGATATAAGGTTTCTACCTCGCTCTATAAAACGTTTTCGTTAGCAAAATAGCTTCTACGAAATCGGACTATGTTTTCCTATGTCTCTGACAAGTTTAATAATAAGATTAAATCTAAGATTACAAAATATGATACAGATAACCACGTTCTAATGGTGCAACGAATGATCGGTTCATCGCGAACAGGCACAGGAGGATCTTCAGGTTACCAATACTTGCGTTCAACATTGAGGTTCGTCCAAAGACTTCACTGAATAGAAGCCTTGAAAAATAATATCATTGATTCTAATTGATCAAAATGAGAAGGCTAAAATGGAGCATAGTCTCTTAAAATGGATAACGGTTTCTTGAGTGTTTTTTTTTGAGTAAGGTTTAATTTTCTATATGTGGTTAATTTACGAAGTTATTAGTTAGACCTAATTTAAAGAGGCCTACTTCTCACTTTTTTTTTTTATCACTGTGATGGAACTTCATGATTTTACAGCGACCGTTATAAGGTCTTTCTGGACCTATTCAACTTATCAACTTTCATCATACCACGGTCATGTCTGCCGCCACTGACTCCTTCTATGACTAGAGCTTTATCTATGTCTGAAACTTACGAAGAAATGGAAAAGTTTTTGTCATAACAGAAATAAAAGGTTGACATCAGACCTATTCTGAATCCGGACTCAGAATCAAAGGCAAACATTTTAATAGAATTTATTCTAGACGTCTCACCTGTGTGGATTATATCGAACTCTTTTCTTAATCCTACATACCTACAAAGTATTCACAGCTTTGCCACTCCTTCTCATTCGCACTTTTTACTCCTATCCTTCTCACTTCGCTAACTCCTATCCTATTCTCCCTATATTTTGTAACGTTACTATTAACTTTTTAAAATTTTCTACTGCTTTAAGGATTTATCCGACCCTTTATGGCTCCTTTCAAATGCAACAAAAAAAAACTTGTTTTGTAATCATTTGTAAGCAACAAGTGTTTTCTATTTTTGTAGCTGATAATAATACTCTACCTTAGGCTGTAACAAACTCACTTTCTTTGAAAAAACTTAGATACTCGAGATGGAACTGCTAATGTGGAGTACATAGACCGTGAATAAAGAGTACTGGAAATATATTGTATGCGATAAAAAGGAACCATTACAATAGTATGAATGCGGAATCTTTAATTAGGACTTAGTTCAAGCTATTATGTCATCAACCGGATTAGTGGATAAACAGCTTACTATATATTCTGTCAATACATTGGAGTTCATGCTCTTTCACAGACAACTAAGTTTGTGTGTGGATAGTTTATTTGTACAGTACTCGAGTTATTGTTATATACAAGTGTCAGATATACGTGCTATTTTTAGTACTGAGAATGCCATTAAATTGATTATACTCACTGGGAAAAATGAAGAAATGAAAATAGCTGAATGCGCCTATGTGCACAACTTCCACATACTGGGTGATAAACGTAATTTGTGTGACAATATGATTTCCATAGAAACACTCAATTGGTACAAGAAGCCTATTTTACATGAAAAAGATTTTTTTTAAAAGTACTGATGTGCGCCCCTGTCGCTGTTGCTCCAGCCTCGCTTTATTGTGGTGCCCAACTGTTCCGACTGTTTGCGGGGCTTTTTTGCCGCATTTTGTTTAGCACGTTTGTCTTGCTGGTCTTTGAAGGATTCGCCCTTGTTTAACCCTTTAGCCAAAGCGTTCACCTGAAACCATGCGATAATATCTGGTTAGTGATAAGAGTCGTAGATATTTTTTACTACTATTATAGAATGCTGTATTACGCCGTACGTATATCAAACACTTGTCGAATCGACCGAATCACAAGTTTCGTTTGTTTTTTGTTTTGTTTTTTTTGTAATTTACTAACGATCCAAGGCGTACCGACCTGCTTCATTTATCAGACATCCTGCCAAAAAATATACATGAGGGCTGTGGGAGTAACTTTTTGTTAATGAGGGGAAATTTGCCTCTAGCTCAAAGAGCCAGACACGAGATAGGCCAGAAGGATAGGTTTTGTATGGCAATGATATCGAACCGACGATGAATGTCAGTACTAGCTTTTAACTAACGAATTACCTGTTGCATTATTGCGTCCGGATACTGACACCCCAGCAGCATGACGTTGACATACGCCTGCGCTAAACAGAGTAAACGATTCTCTTCGAAGTTCTCCTGGTACTGTACAATGAACTCTTCTCGTAATTCCCAATTTTCCGCACTTTCCCATGGTTGACGATACGTCTCAATTGGTTGAGAGAGCGGCATCTAAGAAATTAGAAAACGAAGATGCGCATTGTTGGTTACTGTCTGTCCGTTTAACTGAAAGACTTACTCAACCTCCGTTCTCATTATGGCTATAAATATCTTCATACCAATATTAAATGATTGTTTTGATTTTCCCCTGGTAGCGCAGTGGCAACCTGTTCGCCTACTAATTTGACGGACGTATGAAGTGCTCCACGTTCAAAACCGCGCGATTCATTTCGTGTTGGACGGGTTCAGCCGTCTAAGGCAATGTGTGATCAAGGCACTATCGTCGTAAAATTAAAAAACATCTCTCCATAATACCTTAGGATCCTTTCAACGCTCGGTACCGTTATTATGAAGACGTTTTCTAGTAATTAATGTATCATATAATCTTTGTTTGTCTTTCTTTATCGATTTTCTAAAAATTTAACTGGAAATTGTATTGAGTTATTCGAAAGGCTAACATCAGAGGTTTTACTAGCATAGAGCAGCGTTCCCACCAATGTCGACAATTTTCACAGGTAGCACAAATTTAGATTTCTTCAACTCGTTAAAGGTGGTCGTTTGAAACACAATAGTATCACAATTCCTTGAATGATAGTCCTTGTTTACATTTGATAATACTGAAATAGACTGATGGGATGCGGAACCTAGCTATACGTATACATTCCACTAGAAAAAGTAAAGCAAACAAATAAAACTATAGTAGCAAACAAATATAATGATCCATTGTAATGCGTATTTTTTTGGCAGAACTACTTTCCTGCTATTTAACATTTGAGCGAAAATCGGTTGATAAAATTCAAGCGAAGTTCGACTACCGTGTTGATTATCTGTCGGTATATGTTATTAGGTGAACTATTCGTAGTATTCTATTAATAGCTAATACGAATTGCATTTAAGAGTGTTCTCAATCTTAGGCTAGCTTAACTCACTTACACTGAACGGGATCGTGAAATTATGCAACAAGTAAATTCGAGACCGGCTACACTAGCAACAGCTGACGCACCATCAGATTGGCCTCTGTGGACAATCGTTCGATATGTCGTCACTTGCCCAGTGCTTTGATTACGTTCCGAGGTTTATGGTTCGATGCGGATGAATGGTTCGCGAGGGTCACGACAGGGAATAGATGCAAAAGAGATAAACACGCGGTTCGTTTGAAAAATTTGAAAAAATGTTTATATGAAGGCCGGCCTACGAATGACTCTATGCTAGGAAAGACGTAGACGTCCATATTTTTAATAGAACGAAACGCAAGTTCAATCTAGCTGTTTGGAGTTTTGTACATACTTAAGATATCCTGTGGTAGAGACAAGGGTCATTGATACATATATATAGATATAGACCGTTAACCAGAATATAGTATTAGATAAATGATATATGCAGATAACCTCAGAGTACAGTCATATGTATAGTATATATAGGTAATGAGAAACAGTAAAGTATATAGGTGAAAAATTGCTTGATATTTTAACGGCCTTTTTCCAGATAGTCGGAGATGAATTTGTTAATCACTGCGCTCTTATAACGTAAAAATCAGATTAAATCGTGATGCCAGTGCACGCATAGCGGAATCGCCGAGGCCTATCATAACTGCGTAGCATATCGGCGAAGCATGAAGTTCATACTTATTTTCGTAGTGGCCTGTTTGTGATGGTTGATACATTTCTAGGCACTGTTTTGAGGCCGTACACGATTAAAGCAGATGGCGACGCATGTGAATAGAATTAATAACAATGGTTTAACAGTAGAAGGATAGATATTTCCGTCCGATTTAGTTAGTTCAGTCTTCGTAAATGTGCAGTGCTAACGTATTCGCCAATTAAACTCAAGAGCACGTGGTGGTCATAAAAACACTCTATTTAGCATTAGAAGAGGTCAATTGTTTAAGACAATACGCAACGGTAGTACCGGACGTACAACTCCAGACGTTTAGCCTTATGGTTACGTATAGTCCATCAGCAGATAAATCGAGCTATATGACTCTATTTTGTTTGCCCTCGAACTGCTGCATAATTGGAGATTCATTTATATCATCAACAGATCCTCCCTGCGGCGGAGTAATGGTAGCGTGTTTCTGTACTGTTTTGTCGATATAACGTACGTATGGGACACTGTGCTTCTATGTAAATATTCCGATGACACCGGTTTATACTAATAGTAATATTTACATAAATGTTCTACGTCTGAGTCTACCGTGATTAACGATCGCTTCGGACGGCGGGTCACGAAATAAATATTTACGCCCTATTTAAAATCTGTACCGCCTTACGCGGTGTCCCTAAGTTCACGTTAAAAATAAGTGCATGGGACAGACGTGCTCTAATGGATAAATGCAGGTGGATCTGGAAATCAGTTATCATATGAAATAATTCTGATAGTAAAAAGGTGCGTGTACTGACGAAGATTAGCGGACAGTGGTCAAGTTTGTTCTGACGAGGCCACTATCTGGAATTTCTGGGCCACTATTGACAGCTGGTGAAGGTATTACGCAGATCCGTTTGTAGCAAACAAGTAGTGTTGTACGAAATTGTAGAAGGAAAATTTTGATACTAGCGATGATCGAAAGTAGGACTATTTATAAGGTACGACTACTTAGAAACGAATTTGAAAACGGAACAAAGCCATTCAATGGAGGAGAGTTTGGTCTCTGAGGGATCTATGAACAAGCAGTACGTCTTACCACATCGTCACAAAAATGCTGTGCATAAGGAAAATTAATGTGACGTGAGAGCCTGAAAAGTGATTATCTAAAACATGTTGCTTTCGATGCACGGAAAAAACTGTTAATAATGGAACATGGCGCGATTTAAGTAAGCAGCCAATGCACCGCTAGCTACAAGTCTTTTAAAATAAGAACTTATTTCGTTATCTTTGTTTTCGTTTTTCCATTTTGTATTGTGTAACTAATAAAATCTACCACCAAACATTTCTGTTTTGGCCGGCCAATTTAATTTGAAGAGTTTGCAAGTTGAAATATTTTACGTTCGATGCGTGGAGCTAACTTGCAAACTCTTCAAATCTTCATCGAACGTAAAATGTTTCATGCTTGGGGGAAGATATGTGGACCCAAATTCAACTTGGCGAAACGGATGCGGTACATTAATTTCCGCATTTCCGTGTATACAGCTACACAATCTAATCATTGTTATTTGCAAAACACTAAAAAAAAATAATATAAGACTCGTCCCAGAGAATACTTTTTTATTAGTAGCTGGCGTCCAGTTTGTTTAAAAAAGGACAGATGCTGAAACGAACTGATAACATACAGAAATGCGCAGTTATGAACGAGCATTATGACACAAGAATTTATAGCACACTAACCGGAAAAATCGAGAAGCTTGTTCTTCATTAATACGATCAATCTCTAACTAATGTTTTTTTCTTTGTAAAACATACGCACCGACGTTAGGACGATTGCTTCGAGAACATTGGCTACCTAAAAAATACAAAAATAAATAAAAACCTAATTTATTTATACTAATATAAAATAAAATAAGTTATATATATATATATATATATATATATATTATATTTATTTATTTATTATTATTTAATCGAATGACAATTATTTAAATAAGTGTCGTGTCCTTTATTTCAGGATCGTTTGCTTTAGCGACAGAATAGATATCCCATAGATCTAGAGTGCCTGCCATCATTCCGTAACTTTGTTTTTTCATCTGTCCTAAATATCAATTCGTTTTATGCCAGCTTGGATGGAAGAGTTAGCGCCTCGCTCTTAGCATTCTCGTTGTTCGCTACATGAATGAACACGTAATTTTACCTTGCCTAAGTTACAGCGAAACTAATGGATTTTACTTTAAATTTATTCAGTATAATCATTTGTTAATAAAGCGCAAAGTATGGCTTCGTATGGTATTCCCGTTGAGGTAGCCGTTACTCATCGTCTGTGACGATCTCTTAGGAAAAATAATCGTCCAAACGGGAAATTAAAGGATCACGAATGGACAAGGCCATTGAAGAAGCTGTCATGTACGGGGTGCTTTTCAAAGACTTACAGAAATTAGGTAATATGAAAGTGCGCATGAACTTTGTTTATCTCTTCCTGCTATTGCCTAAATGACTAAATAGGTATAAACTTTGTAGAAGTAGATGATCAGCAAACGGTCACTCCATTATTTGTTTTAACAACCTAGAATATACCCCTCAGCTATGAGTGTCAGCTGCACAGCAATCTACCTATTAAAAGCTTGGAACAACGTTTCCCTATATTAAGTAACTATTTTTCATCCATTTTTATGAAAACGCCATCAATGTTTGTCGAATAGTTGTTATATTTTTCTTGTTATTTACCTATATATATTTATATATACTTATGCGCATAGAGAAAGAGAGAATCCGAGGGGTCTGTCAATAATAGTTAGATTAGTCAAAAAAATTTCCTGCGAACCTCCATAAGCAACGGATGTGACGTCGAGCACGTCATCGGTACCATTTCAAAGGTCCAACACAATTTAACCGCATCATCAGATCTTTTTCTTTACTTATGTTTCGTTAAACACACTTTGTTTCAAAGCTTTCTCCTCAAGTCGAATTTATGTTATTAGAAGAATTACTTGACACAGGCCATCAACAAATGCCTTATATTTGAGATTTAGTGGAAAGGTCTGCTAAAGTGTCTTTAGGCATAGTTGCAGAAGTTAATCTGCAAATGTAATAGGAAGCGGAAAAATAACTTCCGGTCTACGCGTCTTCTTACCGACTTCCATCTTGAAGGGTCAGTTATCATATAATGAAGGCTCTCGAAATGAGAGCGTTGTCAAATATGTGTTAGAATATATATGTTTGTTGAAAAAAACAATGGGTCGATATTAGTTGAAAAAACAATACCGGTCCCGACTGCAGCAAATTTCTCATTGTATGATTATTATCACATTCGGAGACTTGCTCTCGCACGGTCCATGACATCTTTTTTGATCTTCGGGTAGTCTGGGTAGAGTCCTAGAACTTGGTGACATACCGATATTGCCTCCACAAATCGCTTTCCTTTCAAATAGTTGAATGCAAGCTTATAACCTGTGGGAATCAGTACGTCTTAGAAGTCGGTTGCGGAAATTACGGTGTAAATGCGAGTAACTGATTATACCGAAGAAGATTATTCATTGAATGCAAGGTGGCACACTTGGTCAGGTCTTTTTTTCATTCATTAGGTAATAGATTAACTTCATAGACTTTCTAATTGGCATAAGCTATTGAGGGGTCCGAAGCATTCGGTATACGATGCATTTCTACTTGAATAACATGGGCAATAACTCGCAAATGTGAAAAACACAACTTACCGATTGCAGGGTTTCGCGTTTGTTTCCAAGCGGATTCATAACAGTTGGCCGCGTCGCGATAGCTCTGCTCCTTTTCCATAATGTACCCCATGTACTCGTAAGCTTTCGTGCAGCTCTGCAATAGAAACAGCAACCACCGAAAGCGCCAATAAGTGATTCCCGATTCTGTTCCTTACTTGAATATCAAACGAATTCAGTTTATAAGTTGAAGTCGCTTGTTTACCAGTCACAATGGATAAGTCACCAATTTGGAGCGGAAAGTTTTGCTCTTAATTAATGTAACTTTATTTACTGCTGTGGTTCGAATATTGTTTGTGTACTAGGCGTGATGGTGGTTACAAGTTCGGCGAAAGCAGAAAAGCGCAGAAGCTGAGTTTACCTTGATAAGTGCCAACTATAACGTAAAATTAAGACTCAAATTTGCTATAGAATAAAGGGAAATTCTCTGTTTTAATGCAGAACAAAAAGTTTGATTTTAAGGTTACCTGAATTAGATCATTTTAACAATGTGTTTGTTGTCCTTACCCGGTTGTATTGAAGGACACGTTTAATCAGGTCGCTCGCATAATCGTATTTGCCAGAATGAATATAGATATCGGCGAGAAGCAACCAGGCCTTCTCAAGGTACTCGGCGTCGCTAAAACTCCATGGCGATTTCATGACACGTTTCAGCTGATTGCGCGCTTTTGGTACCTGTTTAAGGATCATATGGGCTGTCGCGATACCTAAAATAGCGCCGACATGCTCTCGCTACAAACAATAACAACGTAAAAATGAAGATTGCTTTAATATCTATATACAACTATAGTATAACAGTGCACAAAAATTCAAACTTAATAGATCGTGTTAAGTTGATCGCATCTCGAGCTCTTGAACGCTTACTAATTGGTAATTCTATATATTGGCTCGTCGCAAAAGTATTGACCGATCGTTTTTCTATCTAGCTGGCTTTCAAGTTATATATCTCAGGCAATATGGGTTGCGTCCAATGGAGGCAATATGGGTTGGGAAAGTTGTGATTTGGCAATAGTAGATTTCCTTAGATTGTTAAAATGAGTGATATTTCTACAAAAAATGACAATATTTAACAATTTTATTACGATTAAAAAAAATGTACAAATTGCTTAAACTGCGTTATCGAAAGAGACGTTTTAAGGATGGTTCTTTCGCTTTCGTTCGAGAGATTTCGATACGAAAGATATTCTTCGACCGATGGTCAATTAATTGTGATAAAACTTGAGCAATATCGACAAGAGCCATGGTATCGCCGGAGAACTAAACGTCTGCGTAAATTAATGGCCTAGACCGGTTGAAAAAGATAGTTATACGAAGAAACTTGACGTTTTAGAGTGTTTACTTAATCATACGTTTATCTATAGAACCGCAGCAAGGTCGATTCACTTTTAAAATGGGTGATCGCGCGTGATGAAAAGTGACTCACATACGATAATAATGTGCAAATAAAAAATGTGCTCTGCAAAGTTCAGACAAACGCTAAAAAAGTTCCGGTCTCTGCAAAAGTTCCTTCCAATGCAGCAATTCAAAAATCATCTGTAACTGTTTTTTTTCCCAGAAGCCACATAAGTTCTACACCTACGGGATTATGGTGGTATTAGAAAGATGGTAGAAGGCCATTAATCCAAGTGTCACAGGTTCAGTTTAGTAATAACATTTAAAAATGAAAGCTTTTGGCCCAGTCTTGGTTTTAAAGCGGTCATGGCTTTTTCGACGAGCGAACGGGGTACACAACTCATTTGTAATTACAGATTTCGTCGCCTATAGGAAGTAAAGCAATACATAAAGCGTATGCATTGTGTCCCATATATCTACTGAATAGCACACAGTAGTATTCATATTTAGCGAAGTATGTCGCTTGACGCGACTCTACTAATTTTAAACCCAGTGTAACACAAGATTCCAAGGTGGTGCATTCCGTACAACGTACATATTTTTCGTCGGACGTAATCTCTAGGAAATCGTTGAGCGCCATCTCGGCATCTGGCTTAGTTTTTTTAGCTAGAAGAACATAATCACACATTAACTGAAAATCGAGGTCACTCGGGGGAACCGTAGTTCTCAGTTCGGCCAGGAGATTCTCCGCTGTCTCAATTATACCAGCCATCTCCCTGTAAAGTATAACATGACACAAGTGCGATACCTTCGACATCGTTAGATCTTTGTTTCCAGTCGAATGACCTTGACGCTTTCAACAGCCTACCAACCAGCTAACCTTAGAGCTGAATTTAATTGGTTCGCTGATAGATCATAATCTCTTTAACACATGCCATCCTTGACGGCAGATGCACTTTCCGGCCTCTTGGTACTTTCTAGTCAAAATCTTTAAATTCGATTGCCTAAGCATATAAAATGACTTACTCTGCGGATGCAGTACTGTCGAAAGTCTCTGATCCAAGTGTGTTATTGTCAGGATTGCAACAGATCTCGATCATATGGTATGTAGCAATAATTCCCCATTCAGAATCACCGCGACTTTGGTTGAAGTGTTTCATCGCTGTCTGGGTATTACCTGTCGCAACACGCGATAATGTCACTATCAAGAATTTACATTTTATAATTAGACATTTTCATATTAAATGTGTAACTTATATCGCGAGGCAACGTATTTATCTGTGTTTTTTTGGTAACGAAAAATTGAATCAACCGTAGAGCAGCGTTCTGGTGATACTAATATATGGTAACAGATGCGTAATACATTCATCGTTATAGTCCCGTTTGTGAGTATTATACATATATAGAAATGCAGTTTTTTTTTTTCGAAACGTAATTTTTACAGCAGTCTCATATTGTTCGTTCCAGGTAAACATATAATACCGGTCCTCGGGTCAGACAGGCAATAACGGCATAGCTTCTAACAAAAAGACCCCTACCAGTATACCAATCGTAAAGCCCCCGGCAGTAGTAGAAGCCTGCGGCTGGTGTTGATGGAGGTTTGTCGAGGAAAGCTTTGCACTTGTACAAATATCCCAGCCGCCTAAAAGAGCACACACGAATAATGAGTATAGATCAAATCGTATGCTGGCGGACCTGCCTAAGCAAAAGGGTTTCGATAAACGATTTCAAGATTATAAGATTCAATAGAATCGCGCTTGCTCGGTTAATTCTAACCGACAAAAATTGCGTACTGTTCTATATAAAAATGACAGGCGATGTGGGTTTCTTCGATCGGGTGATTATTGGCTTCTGGTCTTAAGGGTCGTTACCTGCAAGCTTCGATGAGTCTGGCCAGGGCGGGATAGTATTCGGGTTTCTGCACAAGCAACTTCTCAAAATGTATCAGTGAATTTTCAAGGTCCGTTTTGCGGAACATGATGTCCGCCATCATCTGCAACCGTAGTGATGAATCTCATCGTTGGTGGTTGTATCAAAGGTCTCAGCCAATTAAACGACACAGGATGTATTATTACAGCTTAAGAAATGAGCGCCCACATTCATATTACTACTCCCGCCGAACTCTTATTGCAATCAATACCGTGCCATTGCGAGACGGCGAAACATTCCACTCAGAGCTGTTAGTGACAATCTACGGTTACGTTCGTTTTGCCGCGCGCACGTTGAATTGAAGCAGACAAACAGTTTTTAGTCGTTTCAGGCCGAAAGTTCGTAGATTTTCTACGAACTTTCGGCCTGAAATACTTCACAATTGGAGTTTTTTTTAGACACTATTATGGAGCACACGAGTTGCACGAACTACACTCCATATCTCTAAGTACGTTTTATGCCGATATCTATATTCGCACAGGTGGCACACTTCTGTCAGCCTAAATATTAATTTTTTTTTTCTTTTTTTTTTCTAACAAAATAATATAGAGTAACTTACCAGAGTGGCGCTTTCATTATCTTTGTCAATCTTGAGAATTTGATTGCAATATTGCCGCGCCTGCTCCAGATTGTTTGAGGCCATTTCCACCTTTGCCACAGCCAGGAGTGACTGGAGACATCGGAATCACAAGAACTTCATATTTGATGGGATTTTGTAACGTAGCAATATTTCGTATACAATTAGCTATATTTACAGATGCGGTAACACATTATGCTTAGATAGCAAATCTAAGCATAATGTGTTATCTAATCATTTGTTATATTTATTACTTATTTTTAGCCCTTATCTACTCTCGTTGTGACCACGTGGTTTGCAAATCGAGAAAATAGGTCGTTCGCCTTCCCGAACCTGCCTCGTGCCCCCGATATGAGATGGATCCATTTTGACACATTGTAGAAGCCATATGTGAAGTTGACTTGTACTTTATACTGGGTATTCACACGAATCGGGCACAAAGCAACAGTGCACAGCATTTAACACACCCGAACATTTGTCTGGTCGTAGTGGAGAGCCTGGCGGAGAAACTTAAGAGCTTGTGGGTAGTCTTTTTTACTTTCTGCATGTGCCGCTAGTTTTGAGCAGATCGCTAAGGCCTGGGTTAATTGTTCAGCTGCCGAGTCCGGAGCTTCTAGCTGGACACGCATCATGACCTGGAAGCAGACCACAAGCAAAATGTAATGGAAAGGTCATTTGATGACCGGATCTCACCTATTTTCAGAATCTACGAATACTCTAATTGCAGATGTTCGACTCATATGTCTGACAAAGATGTTCTTTCTCCAAATTACAAACGGACAAGTTTATCTAGGCTCAACAAATTGTGTACTATGTTCTCTTTAATGCTTTTAATAAGATTCAAGCTGAACTGGCCTAAAAAAGCTATGTAATCAATTCAGTTGACGCACCCGAGTTTGGATATCGTACGCTTTTTGGTACGCCTTGATGGATGCGTCATTGCCCTTTTCGGGGTTCATTCGATAGCTTCTGGCCAGAAGTACCATGAATTTAGCTTCCCACTGCAGTGCTTGCAGGTCAGCTTGTTGTCTAAGGGGCTCTAATGCAGCATTAATCACATCTTCACTCTCTTTAAACCTACGATGTCAGCATTTAAATCACATCGTAAACAAGGTAATTACTTTCTGACTTCAGTTTACGAGATATCATATCATATTGCTGTTATGATCAAACACCGCACATATAGTCTACATATAAAACAAAGTGGACCAAAAATCTCTTAACACATTCCAAATCTTAATTTCATATATATATATATATATATATATATATATATATATATATATATATATATATATATCTTTTTTTTCTGGTGTTTCTTTCAAACTATGAAAAGGCTTTTTCCCCTATCCTGTGTTGTACGGACGATATTTTCAAGTCAAATTTCCCACCTCTCAAGTCCTATTAATAGATGGGCCAGGTCGTATCGAAGTAGAGATTCGCCTCCAGTTTTAATAGCGGCTTTGTAGAAGGTGATAGCCTTATCGTAAAAATGTGTTCTAACAAGAAGTTGACCCATTTTTCGGCCAATAATGTAATCTCTGGGGTTCTTCTTTAGTGCGTTTTCATACGCTTCGATCGCTTGTTCATGTTCATGAACTCTCATTAAGGCGTCACCTAACATCAGATGGCTATCCGCTGTTGGATTATGCTTCACGATATCCCTGAAGATAAGGACATAAAAGACATTTTATTCGGCTGCACACCGGTCATAGCTAGTAGGTCATTCTTTTTTTTTTCTGGAAAAAGATGTCCCACAATCTTCAAAGACAAGGAACATAGTCAGCTAATGAATTTGCATATATAACTCACCGATAGCACGTAATAAAGAGTTTAGTGTCTTTACGATACTGAAGATAGATTGAAGCCATTCGTTCACGTGCTTCGACGTAATAGTTCTGGTCAGGGCCTATAGCCTGTAGAAGGGATAGAGCCTGGTCAACATTGCCTCGACTCAATGCTAGCTCCGTACCAGCAATATTTACCTATATACAAGCGTTTTTCAGTAAATGCAAACGATATATTAGTTAGTCATATGATATAATCGATAATCAGTGTATTGGCATAAACTTACAGCGTTATTTCTAACTTAACGAAACAGAAGAGATAAGTAACATGATATTGGAGACCCACCTAGATATTGCACATACAGAGTGGAAAAAATTAGTAAATAATTTGAAAAATCTTCTGAAAATTCGAGAGTTTTTTAATTTAGTTTTCATTTTTTTGCTCGCACTACACTAAACTTTTCGCAATAAAGATTCTCGAAGTACTAGGTAACTTTTGCCCCCCTTTGCATAAAGTGCCAAAACGCCAGCGGCGGAAATAGGTTCTATACAAGTTGAAAAAAGCTCGAACATCAATTTGCTGACCGAGTGCTCGCCGAGCATAGAACCTAGTATCCATTCGGTTAGCCCGACTTATAGACATACACAATATGGCGTAATCACTAATTAAATATTTCATATTTTGGGCCAGATTTACTAACTTTAACCTCCTCTGGCTTCCCTTTAAAGTACGCCAAGGCATTTTTGATAATGTTTTCGGCTTTCTTTTGATCACCCAATAGACGATAGGACTCCGACAGTTCGAGGAAAAGATTCATTTTGTCATTAGTATTGAGCGCTGCCTTAGCCGGTCCACCTGAAAGGCCTGCCAAATCCATGGCCATCTTGAGAGCCGTCAGTGCTTCTTGATTTTCCTCTTTTTTTCGATGAATTTTCGCCTTGATCAGTTGAAAAAGTGGTCTGTCTCGCACCTGGTAACCAAAAATAAATTTGAATAAAGATACGGACGTGTTATTTTCGTATCAGCCAATCAGTCGTTTTGAGAGCCAGCCGTATGGAGTAACATTTAATGGCTTTTGTACCAGACCTAAAACAAGATTATAGAACTAGTCGTTCTTAGTTACAATTTTCAGTACTCTTACAGACCTGGAAGTTGTTCGAAAGAGCCATCTCAAGCGTTTGCTGAGCACTTTGTACTGCATCTTGCTCGAGTTGAACTTGTGCTAGAAGCAGGTGCGTATCAGCCGGAACTTGTTGGTTCAAGTTGATCACCTTGTCCAGAAGGGCTGGAAATATTTAATACGTTGATTTATTTATACTTGACTTTTTTTTTCTTGACTGCTATGCTCCACAACTGTTACTAACAAAGGGTATCATTATTATATAACAAGTTCGCAAAAGTTACCCTGAGCCGCCGTAGAATCTCCAGAGAGGTATTTGATCCGAGCCATAAGAAAATTTGCGTCAACGAGTGCTGGACACATATGTAACACGGGTTTTAGCGCTGTTTGGCATTTCTTTAACACTTCTGGAAGTGTCTGACCACTTGTCGCCTTTAAAGGCCGTTCGGGCGCGTACTCCAAATACAGTTTTACTAGTTGTACGACGAAGTCTGGGTTTAGCGACAAAAGGTATTCCATACTCTTAGGCTGACCTTCTGTTGCCTGGTAATGCTTGCTTACTGCTTGGTCAAGAAGCTGAGCCACTCGTTCCGGCGATTTGTTTTGCCGATGAAGTAATAGGGCGGTGGTGTACAGCATTTCCTGCACACAATTGAGAACCAGAACTACAAGGTGACAATTTCAAGACTCTAACGGATGCTACAGATGCAGCTTATATGGGAGACCTTCAATGGATGAATTTGATAAGAGAATTAGTACTGATGCGACGAAGATTAAATGGAATATTAGAGATACCAACCGGGGTCATATGTGTCCGATGAACTTCCTGTAACAGGTCGATTTGCTGTTCGGCCGTTTCGAGTCCTTCGGGTCCCTGCGACAGTGTCTGCAGAAGGATGCTTCCGAGGGTCGCCTCCATATTTTCTCCGTCCGCGCGAAGCGCTGCCACAAAATGCTTGTCAGCGTCCTGAGTCGAAAAATGTGTAATTATCAATTATTAGAATGGCTCTCACCACATTCATTGCTCGCATATCATGAGTTCTCTCAAACTCATCAGTCACGATTCGAGTTCCACAGAATTAAAGACTGCATTTGGAACATGTGCTTGACACTTTTTGAATTCGTACGCTTACCTTGTAGCGATTTAGCATAAGAAGTATTTTCGCAACGCCCGTCTCATAAATAGAATTTTTCGAGCTGAAGGAAGTGGCCTTCTCCATAAGTACCAGACACTGCTCCAGTATCTGTGGTTGCCGGCCGGACTGCAACGAAAAAGGACCTTATGTATATATAATAATATATATAATAATAACAACACATAATATTGAGTTGTGCCTACTTTTTACTGCGTTCGATTGATGAACGGTCAAACATCATGGATATGCAAATTTGAGATGGGATTAACCTTCGACACAGCAATAATTTTACTCCGCAGTAAAACGGAAATTGGTTTTTTCCTTGACTGACTAATCCTCGTCAAGAGTTTACTTACGACAACGATAAATATCGAAGCGGTCTCGTAGTACAACCAGGAGTTGTGAGGCTCGGCGATGTCAAGGGAGGCCAGTACCTCATGTATTCTCCGCTGGGCCTCCTTGACGTTATTCTGTTTACTTAACAGGTGCACAACTTGATAACGCTGCGCTTGAATGCAGTTCGTGTCCATTGACAAAGCTCTAGCGACGCGGTCAAAACAGGTCAGAGAACAGCAGTAACGGCACACATCAAGTTAGGTCTGGAGGATATAAGTTGCTGTAATTTTTAAATATCTAGCTTATATGCTATGCATTTGTAGCTTCATAACTATTAGGAGTTGGATAGTTTTGTCGACCTGGAGCAGCGTGACAACGCGTAAAAACCGACCCTAGATAGTTATATTATAGGCTATTTTTGTAGCGAAAAATAAACACTATTTATTGGACGATGAGACTGTGCCATAGCATGGGTAATGTGAACACTTTTTGGCTACCCTGCTTTTTTGATTACCCCGACGTGAGTGCCGCCGCATATCATAACTGACTATGGTCAACAAATGCATGACGTATTCCATCGCCGATTCCGTACGTCAAGAACAGGCTAAAGGTTCGCTCTTGAGAGATTACTCAACCAAAAATCCATCGCTGTTCCATTATGTACAGATGCGGGTTGCGATGTCTCCGATTACCTGTTGGCCGTGTCGACTACTTGATCCCAGTCCCCCATAGCCATGTGCACTTTTATTTTCTCCAATATTGACGGAAGATTACCTGAAATTTCGACCAACGATATATATGTATACGGTTGCTACTAATTGAATGAAGTTGCATAGTAACTGATATGGACCCTGGCACCTATATTACGCAAACAATTTGCTTTTTGGATGTTAAGTTGTTGACCTTCTTTCTGTGAGGATTGCGTATATTCTGTTGAAAGCTCTAAGGATGGCACATTACATTGTAGCACTGCAATTTGCAACACATCGCGTAGCAAGTTCCTCGCGCGTATTTGGAGCTCCTAGCGTATGGAGCTCCTAGAGTTATGTATATTTTATGGGGGTGGTTGATTGATTTACTTCAAACATCTCAGCTTTCTCTACCCAGCACTTCCCTGACCTGACTACGAGCTCTCACCTGGAAAAGAGACTACACTTTGATTTACTACGTCAAGTGCCTTGTGCAAATCACCCTGGCGTTTGAGCGCTTCGATCTTGCCAAAAATTGCCTCGGGATTAGCTGTTCCCGACGACTCGAAATACTGGACAACGTTGGTCTTTGCTTGCCGTTGAAGTTCTAGCCATCCTTTCAATACGAGACCTGCAATTACGTTAATTATACAGTGGAGGGTAAGCACTGTTTAGCCGCAGTAACACGGTTCGAATTTGATTTATCTCGAAAGTGAAAAGTCTCTCAAATGGATTACATTTCAATACTGATTGTGTTGTATATGCGGTTGATAAAAAGATCGACGCTACCCTAGAAACATGTATTCTGCCGACTGAGTCATTCGTTCAAACGCCCGATCTCGTTCGCTGTTATCGCTGAACTGTTCTCTGGGATACCTTTCGTTCCATTCGAGTTAGCCATATTTAGTCAACGTTTGCCCCTATGCGAGCTCGAATCTGATATGGCTGTCGAGTCGGCCTGCATCGAACAAGTAATTGTTGGATGGGTCGATTGCTTTCAAGGTAAAATGCTTAATTATTTATTATTATCTATACTTAATTTTGTACTATGATCTTACTTCGTTCAAGAGAAATAGCAAACCTTCTTTCGTTGGTGGAGCTATTTTAAGCATCCTGTCAATTAAATCCTTAGCGTTCTCAAGGTCTCCTATCATATAATAGTAGAGACCAGCTAGGTAAAAAAGCTTCTCGTTACGTTCTTCACGTAGATTACGAATCGTCAGCTCGAGATTGGCAGTTGCTTCATAGTCTGCAATAGTAACAACGATAACAGGTCATCTGCTAAGTACAACCACTTCTGACTGTCTACGTTGATTGTGTCTATCTGTAATAATTTGGCAACAAAAGAAAATATGAAGTCGCTCGAAGTATCATTTTAAGTCTGGCGGTTGCTCTAGGCAGAGATGGTTGTTTGTATGATATAAAAAGTAGGAATGTTTGTTTTTCTTTTAAGATTCAACAGACGCTTATATGGATGCCTTTTTTTTAGTATGCTGTCGAAGTTAAGATCAAAGGGAATAGGGCCGAGGAATTTGATTTACTTGTTGAGAATTCAACCTCACTCTTAGTCAACCTTTATTAGCACTATTTTATCTGTTTTGACTGATTCTGTTTATTAACTTCATAGGGGGGGGGGGTCCATGATCTAAGGGAGGTATCGCGTAAGTCGGATACAAACTATACATTAAAGCTTAACGCAATCAACTATTTGAGAACGACCCATTGTCCGCGAGCTTTAAATAGCCGATAAATATATATTCGTATTAGATGGAAGAAATATAGCATTCTTTACTCTTCAGCTGCTCACTTTAATTTACGAGCGAATTACGGGGTACAGGGTAGTATTAAATATAGCAACCAATATACAAAATTCAAGTTTTACCTTCTTTAACATCTGTTTGTTTCTTGTGAATCGATAGGACCCGTCGTTTTATTGCCCATTTTGGTGTAACTACCCAATAGAGTAATTGTTTAATTTTCGTAGTTGGCGCCAAAACAAGAAACCTACTTTACAGTTGTCTTTTTGCATCCCAGCGCTTGCATACAGGTCCGACCAGTTATTGCGTTGTTTAGCTATGTCGGATGGTCCATATGAATCATCGTCTGCCGCTTGGAACGCATTGGCCAGTCGAAGTGTTAGTCCATCGGTACAGAATCTGTTTTCAAATACGCGTCATGGATTTGCCTCATCCCTACACGTAAAAGACCTTCAAACCCTGAAAGCACTGCTCAGCCATCACGTAAGCTTTTACACTGTTCCTACAATGTCCCGCCAAGACTATGCCATCCAAGTCAGCACTAAGACCTGTACACGCTGCAAGCATCCATCCACAATATTAATGAGAGTAATATTATGGGTGTTTCTAATTGCCGTTGAAAAGCGTACAGGCTTCGATAAACAGACGCCGTCAGCGCCTCTTAAAAAATTGAATGGCTAACAACGATATATATAAATATTGATTGGGCAAACAAATGAATTTATGTATATATTCACTCGTACTGGACGAAATTGCTTGCTAAGTCAGCGTAGTCAATATGAGTTTTCGGAAATCTACGCTATTACGCTACGACAAGATATGCTTATGGCTTGGGTGTGCGCTTTGACGCGTACAGATTCGTCACGACTTTCGATCCGATGAAGGTATGGCACTACAGGCTGATCCAAACTATTAACTGAGGGAGAGAGCATGAAACGATGCTAATGTGATATCTGTTCGTAGTAGTGCCTAGTCATCCATGTAATAAATGCACTGTAACGTTTGAATATGCCCGCGCTCGTCTTGCCGGGCAAAGCGATTTGACAGGCGATTCATACGAAGTGACCTTGTTTCACTTTAGAAACAGCAAATGATGTACGTACGTACGTACGTGCGTGCGTGCGCGCGCGCGCGGGCGGGCGACGGCAGCAGCTGCTGTGACGGGGTATGGCAGTATAATGATTTCGCTACGACAGATTCCAGAACACGATGAAGCACGAGTGAGTATAGAGTTACCATGTGATGTGAAGTTGTTATGCGGGACATCGCACCCGTGCTAAGGTATTATTCTATAAGCATCGGAGTAATGGATACATCATAAATCGTGCACGATAACGTATGTGAGACGGCGATTAGGTGAGGTATCTTTACGTTGGGCTCAATGGTGTAGAATTTCTGCATCATGCATAGAAAATGCGTTTGCGTTTTAGTGCGTGTATGGGGTACCATTTGTTTTTATGCGTTGACGAGCGTTGGACGTCGGTGTTCCGACACTGTAATGAAAAAAAGATACTGGAGAACGATGCGGTGTAAAATCGTTAACTTGTTATAATGATGACGCAAGAATAGAACAACGGAAAAGAAAAGAAGGACATTAGGCCAAGGCGTAATTAATCGAGCGACTTTTATGCGACGTCTGCATCACAACTGCTTCATAACTATCATATGCTATTTCTAGAACTCTAGTTATAGTTCACCTCACGTTAATGAATGCTTGCATCTTGTTCATTCATTCTTAGGTGTCTGTCTTGTATGTGAACGACATAGTCTTGACATAGCCATCCTTTCCGGACACCCTCATAGCTCCTTAAATGAGTCGAAAAATCAGTTGCCTTTGAACTGTCCCTAAATTCTTTCCTATTGAGTTCTCTTCTTCTTGACTAAATGCAATTTCAACAACCTTTATACCTGATACGTATCCTCTTGTACTATAGCCCTCGTTGGCAAATCCAAACGTTGTTCACGATCAATTGCTGGATATAGATACAAGTAGAGTTTTCACTGTTTTTACATTTGTGTATATACGTAAAGATAAACAGCACAAACAAGCTCTCTCTATACACGGCCGTAGCAACCGCCGATTCTTCGAATCCAATTCAAATGACCCATTTATATTGATGTCGTCGAAGCGAAGACGATTGAAGAACACTAATCGTACAATCTAAAAGCTGCGGGTCGGTCGCCTACTTATTTCCATTTTTGTTTGTACTACACGTTAATGAAACTCTTACGGCTTACTGCATTACAGAGAATAGAGCTAATCGGTCTAGGTATGATCGACGCCTTGGCCGGGTTCGTCGTCACGTCGCGCACTGATTTCGTCATGGCGGCAGCTAGTGACTGGCTAAGAGCATTCAGTCCCATTCAGTCGAACATCAACAACAACGTGCGCTGATGTCAGGACCGGACGATTATATTGACCCGGTGTCGCTGTTTCTATCGGTTTCGTATATTTTTACTTGGAAGCCAGCGTTTACGTATGTGAACCTGTGCGTACATTACGGTGAACCACTGACTGATGGCTAGCAACACACAGAGGCGTAGGAAAGCGCGAGTTGCTGCAGTGGTATTAGCAGCAGCAGCAGTAGCATGAGCGATTGTGGGTTGCGGGGCCGTATTGTCTGACTGGCCACGAATACGACGCGGCCGACCCGCGTCAATTGTATATTCTATGCGTAGGTCATTTGCATGTGTCAG